ATAATATATATATATATATATTATATATAATATATATATATATAATGTATATATTTTCCTGATTTGGAAAACATTGTTGCATTTATAAACAGCAGTAAAGTGTTTTTGGTAGATGAGTACATTTTATTTTCTCATTCCTTTTGTACAAGTTATTGCTGACAGGATGCTATATGGCCCAACAAGATCAGTGCGGTCCACAGCCTTCTGTTTACGCACAAGCACAGCGTGGTGTATGCCAAAGCCCAGCCCTGCGCCATGGCAACCCAACCCGGCTACACTATCTGCCCGGGCCAGAATGTGGCAGCATCTAAGCCACCTGTTTTCTGCTGAGCCAATCTGTAGCATGAACTCTACATATAAAACATGTAGTGTATGTCAACAGTCATGCGACTGTAAAACTGTGCCAGCCTTTTGATACATGTCCCGAGGCCACGGCCGAACTCACTGCTGCTGCTGCATCAAATTCTTAAGTGAACCATGAGAGGTCCATTTTTCTTATCATTTCTGGAGCTGTTTTACTTTCATACGGCAAAAATAGATGAGTCACTGAAGTTTGTTAAAGTTTACGAGTTCTGTTACGAAAATACAGGTTGTATGGTGCCCACTAAACACAACAGGTTCTGATTATATTTGTACATTCATTGCAGCTGAGGTGGAGGCCAATCGGTTCCTGAACACATTTACAATGGCCCGCTCAGAGGATATGCCAGAGTTGTAGGCATGATATAAGTTTAGTCACATTTACACCGTGCAGGCCTATAAACACCTTCTCCTTCTCCCTGCATGCAGGATGTGGTGGAAAACAGGTGATCTCAGTATGTGGAGAGAACCTGCGTCCTCTTTCGGAAAAAGTCTTTGCAGAAATTAGACTACAGATGCCAGAATGCTCTCTAGGAGATATATTTGTTTTCCTCATTCATTGTTGCCTTTAGATACGTACATGTTCTGAGGTATTATCTTCTCATCCTTGTCCGTTTTTACCCCCTCCTTCTGTTATTCTGCTTATGACACGATCAATATTTATATACAGCTTCTATACACCTCAATGAATTAAAGAAAGGTATAGCCTACAAAATGACAACTTGTGCTAAAGAAGACAAATGGAAACCTCACTCACCTCCCTGTATCCCGTAAGCCGAGGTGACCACAAGCAGCAGAAAGACTGACACGGTTTCCCCGACCTTCATCCTGGCTCTAGAAAGGTCCTTTCACAGGTAGCCTATACAGAATGAGCAGAAAGGAAGTGGGTCAGATCCCCATGGCAGGTGAAGGAGACGGTCTCGTTGGTTCACTTGTTGTGTTCCTTAAAGTGTGTGCGTCTCAGCCAGGGACAGCCATGAGCTCTGTACTCGACGAGGACCAGCTCAGTGTGTGTGTGTGTGTGACGGACAGTGACAGCTGCTAGCTGTCCTTATGTACAGTCACTCAGGTTTTGTAGCTTTGCTCAAAGCTCCTCGGGGTCCGGTGCTGGGGAGCTATCCTCACCCACAGTGATCAACAACAACAGTGTTTATTCAACGCAGCACACGGAAACAGAAGTCAAAACACATGGAAATAGAACTTCACTGTACTAATAATAATAGTAATAATAATCCACTTCTCATATATGTGCTGTAAATGTTTTGCTGTCACATATCCCTGATTTCTCTTTTTGCACAAACTATAGTCCAAGTTGCTACAGTGTGTACAGATCTTTACCCTATAAAGGACACAAAGAGGACAAACAAACTGCAGAGAACAGCCACATCACCCCTTAAAGGGAGGTTACCGAATAAAATAAGTTTTAGCAGGATACATATACAGTATAGGTCTGTATCTTCATTTGTCACGAATATTCAGTCTTATACGCAGATAAACACTAAGGATTTGTGTAAAGAATATCCGTACACACTATGCATTTTTCACAAGCAAATGTACACTCAGGCATGTTCCAACTCTCTACTTAACATGTATTCACTGTTACATGTTGACACACACACACACACACACACACACACACACACACACACACACACACACACACACACAGAGTCCAGGAGGCAGCCTTTGTGTCCACCTGTTGCCTGCATGTCCTGTTTTATTTTGGGAAAGGAATGGCATTTCAGTTCATTTGCTCCTCATCCGGTGCTGCTCTGGATGGAGTCGACTATTGTACTCCCACAGCAAGCACGGTTACACATTGATTTTAAAAAAAAAAAAAAAAGGTGGTTGTGTGAGGTTGCCATAACTTATGTCAGGCAGTTGTCTTTTGTCATGTCACGTGACAAAGATGGAGGATTTTGTCTCTTGCCCAGTGTTTGTCTTTTAATGTTCTTTCCTCTTAATCCCCATCATGCTGTGTATTTGATAAAAATCTCCCTCCATCTTAGTTGGTAGGGGGGGGGGGTTAGCATAACGTGTCAAACTATTACTTTGCCTGGGAGCACTGACTCAGCGGTATTCTTCTGGTACACTGATGCTCTGACTCCCTCTGCTGACATAGAGATTAACTGCTCCTGAATTAGAATCACGGCAGTAAACTGAGTTTTGCAAACTTCTTTTTTCATTTCAGACACTGAAATGTTAATATTTTTTTTTCTCGCAAAATGGACACTGCATGTGCATTCCTGGATCTACTGTCCTGTTGCTATTTACCCAAGGAGCATTGAAATACACGGTTTGTCTCATAACAGTTGAACTAAACTGCTGTTTTCTCTTGAGAGAGCGTGAACTCTTAGGCACGGTCACATCTAAAAGTCACATTTTGGTATTATTCTGGTATTCTTAACACCAGGACAAAGGGTTTTTAGATCTTCCAAAGCTGCTGCTTCAGGGTGGATCTGCATAGAAACCAGATGTACTCCATGAGGCCCCGTCTACTCTGGTTTTCAACCTTTACTTAGAAATAGAGACCTACCAGAGGATTTCAGGCTGCGGCTCATAAGGGATTATTAAGTCAGAAATATAGTGCAAACTCCATTCATGCCTTTTAGGTGATTAATACAATTATGAAGTGATTTGTAGATAAAAGGAAATTGAAATGTTATGATGTAGGAAGCAGGATTGGATATGTCACCAATATTTTACGATGACGTTTAGGATTGTAAGACCACGTCCCTGAGTGAGATGAAATTCAGAAGAGTCTGAACTTCTGATTTATTTGATTTTAACCCAAAGAAGTTCTGAGATAACCAGTTTTTATCTTCTTTGAGACAAACCTTAGTTTGCTCAGTTGCATGATGTTACTTGAATCGAAGTATAGATCTTAATCTGTGTAAAAATGATAACTGATATGCTGCAGAAATAGTTGAGCCAAACATGTAGTAAGGAGAATAGTGAAGGACTAAGCACTGGTCCCTGTGGTGCTCCATGCCAGAAACTGTTGTGGAGGATGTACAGTCCTCTACAGTAACAACATGTCAGAAGGACAGGAATAAAACCTCGGCACCTCGATATTATTTAGACGATCAAGATGAAGATCTTGTCACTCACTGGCTTGCCTAGACACATCTGAATGATGTTTGCCACACCTGTTCTGTTTGGCAACCATCAAACAATCAGCATCATGACTGGTGTGCCTTTGATTGAACCCAATTAATGTAGTTTTATAAACTTAGTTCAGGAACGGGACCACGCCCAGAACACGGCTCATTTCCCCGGCACAAGTATTTAAGCTCAAACGAACCCGTTCACTTCCTCTTCGACTCCGTTCTCTCATCCCTCCCTCCCAACCCCATTTTTTTGTGTTTTCCTTTTCTCTCTCTCTTGCAGAATCACAGGAACGACAGGGGACTCTGCACCGCCAGAGATTCCTAAGAGACGGCCCCCACCCAACAGTCTGGCCCCCACCCAACAGTCTCCGTTCCCACCAGCCGCCAGACACCAACGGTCCCCCACCTCATCCCTTCATCCCTACCCTACCCTTCATCCCTTCATCCCTACCCTACATCCCTACCCTACCCTTCATCCCTACCCTACCCTCTACCCCTACCCTACCCTACATCCCTCTAGCTGCACACAGACGCAGCACCCTCCATCAGTTTTGGCGGCATCTATGGCGACAAGTGGTTCTCAGCCAGCCGCTTGGCCGCCTGAATTTTCATCCCTTACTCCGCACTCTCCGAAATGTTTCCAATAGTTGTAGCAGCCATTCTTTGGGGGTATGAATGGTCAAAAAAGACCATTGCCATCTACTCAGACAACAGCGCCGTAGTAGACATAATCACTAAAGGGCGGTCACATTGTCTCGAAATAATGACGTTCATGCGGAGACTAACTATGGTTTCAGCCCGGCACCAGTTCATCATCCAAGCCTCCCAAATACCAGGTCAGTACAACTCCATCACTGATTCACTTTCCCGTTTCTCATTCCAGAAATTCAGACGATTAGCGCCAACCTCAGACCCTGTGCCGACTCCGGTTGCACCGTTTTCAGCCACCATCTTCAACTGACCCCGCAACTGGAACACCTAATCTCCGCCTCTCAAGACGATATCCTCAACAGCATCGCCCCCCAAACACTCATCATACTTCACCGGATGGAAACGCTGCAAATCCTTCCACGCCTCTTTTAACCTTCCCATCACTCGACATCCTTACCCTCACAAACTTCATTACTTTTGCCCACTCCCTCCTTAAGATTAAAACCTCCACGATACGGGTAAACATAAGCGGCATTAACTTTTTCACAAAACTGTCCTCTGGAACGCCGTGCCCAGCCTCCACCCACTCGCATATAGCGATGCTACTCAAAGGTCTCCGTAAAGCCGAACCACGGCCCATGCCTAAACATCTGCCCCTCACCTCGGACCTTCTCACCCGCTGCATCCATACTCTCCGCTCTGGCTACCTCTCTCCCTTCATGGACAAAGTACTCGAGTCCATGTTCTTGCTGGCTTTTTTCGGCTTCCTTCGCTGCTCCGAGTTCACTGCCTCAAACTCCGACCACGATCCATCACGACATGCCACCATATCCGACATCTCAATTCATCCTCCCGACACCGTCATTTACCACCTGCAGCAAGCCCAACCAGCACAGTCCGCCTCAGCCCATCTACCTCTTCCTTCTAGACACATACCTGAGTCCATATGAACCCATTCGAGATTACTTAATCTCAAGATCAGCCAGCCAAACTTCTCTGCTAGATCCCCTTTTCATCACCGAAACAGGCAATGGGGCCACGCGGCCCTGGTTCCACCACCACTTCCGCTATATACTAGCCAGATCAGGAACACCCCCCCCGAGTTTTACTCAGGTCATTCATTCCGCTCCGGCGCCGCCTCAGCCGCCTCAAGTCAAGGAATTCCAGACCACATCATTAAGATTCTGGGTCGCTGGTCTTCCACCGCGTACCTCTCCTACATCCGCTCCAACCTGAACAATATCAGAAACGTCCACCGGCATCTGTCTTTGTGAGGCTATTTTTGGGGACTCTGCACCGCCAGAGATTCCTAAGAGACGGCCCCCACCCAACAGTCCGGCCCCCACCCAACAGTCTCCGTTCCCACCAGCCGCCGGACACCAACGGTCCCCCACCTCATCCCTTCATCCCTACCCTTCATCCCTTCATCCATACCCTACCCTTCATCCCTACCCTACATCCCTCTACCCCTACCCTACATCCCTCGACCCCTACCCTTCATCCCTCGACCCCTACCCTTCATCCCTCGACCCCTACCCTTCATCCCTTCATCCCTCGACCCCTACCCTTCATCCCTCGACCCCTACCCTTCATCCCTCGACCCCTACCCTTCATCCCTCGACCCCTACCCTTCATCCCTTCATCTTCCAGTCTTACAATCATCTCATTATGCAATAAACCTCTAAACTCATACTGTTATTGCCGTGATCCTTGTTAGTGAACTGTGTATTGATGTCTGTCCTCAGGAAGCCCTCCTGGATTATTCTCCTGTATGAAACTGCAGCTGTTATCCGATAGGACCAGCTGCACGCTATCTAGTCTATAATGCTGCTACTGGTGGCCTCCCAGTTCAGAAAGCTTTCTTTAGTAAGCAAATATTTAATAACCGAGGTCTAGGTTTTCTTGAGGTCTAGGTGTCACGTCCGAGGGGCAGATCAGAGACTCAGGTGCAGACAAAGACACTGGAGCCGAGGTGGAAGGGAAGGTTCTTTACTTTGACCCAAACAGACATACACAGGAACTCAAAACGACTCCAACAGGGAACGAGCAAAATATGTACGAAAATGGGAAAAAGCAAAGTCACAAACCGTAGAGGCAACACGAGGGAAAACTCTGGAGACACGATGCATACACGGGGAGGAACGAGGGGTTAGCACTGGAAACACAATGAGCACACGGAGAGGAACAAAGCCAGAACATGAAGCACACAGGGGGAAGAACACAAACGATCTGACAACCAGAACAGGGAAAGCAGGGGAGTATATATGTGTGGGGTGATGAGTAGATTGCAGGCAGGTGAGTTGAATGAGTGCAGTGTGGGGTTGGCAGACGGAAAAGCCAGGGGCAGGTGATTGGGAACAGGTGAAGTGAATGAAAGCAATCAGGAGACACTCAGACACAGAGACACAGGAGGGAGCCGGGAGGAGACCATTAAATCATTAGATCATTAAAAGTTCAACCCAAAACCCTTTCAGAAGCTTCCACCTAGAACTGAACATAGAGGGTTATAACTAGAACCATCTATGAAAGGTTTCAACTAGGAACCCCCTATGATAGCATCTACAAAAAAACCTTCAAAGCTGTATTGTTTCCACTCAGAACCTTCTTTGAAGGGTTAGGGTTAGCCTTTCCACCCTCTGAGGCTGCCAACAAGAATCCCAAGTTCTACCCTTTCATATTCCAAGGGTTTCATCTAGAAGCCAGGGGGTTCTACCGAGAACTCTTTGTTGTTTTTTAAGGGTTTCATCTAGAACCCTAATGGCCCGGGGATGATGTGGTGCAGCACAACAATCTTGGTTAAGAATCCTAGGTTATGGGTATTTGTGGGCTGGATTGTGGGCATTCCCTCTTAACACCCATGCTTTTGACAATCCATGAAGAATTATTTCTTCCAAAAACAGTTCGTTGGAAGAAAATGGTTCTTAATGGAACAAACACTATAGTGTTTATCTGTATTTTTTGCCTTTGTTTATTCTTGTTTTGCATTTAGAGCAATCCAAAACCGGATTCAAATTCCATGTCTGTGTACACACAACAACCCAATAAAGCTGATTGTCATTCAGATTTTGACGAGGTCAACCCTTTGAAGTTGGCGAACAGCAAACCACGGGGTAGCTCTCTCTCTCTTTCTCTCTCACTCCGTCTCTCTCTGTCTCACACACACACACACACATACACACACACACACACACACACACAAGGCAGGTGAGTCATATTTGGTGTCAGTCAGCCCCTCCCTCTCAACACTGTCTCAACGTGTCCTGCAATAATTAACCAGCTGCTGCAGTGTGCTACACAAGCTCACCTACCACATGCACTGTACTCTGGACCTATAAACACACACACACACACACACACACACACACACACACACACACATATACACATACAAGATACGGGACATCAAACATGAAGTGAACCAGCTTAATTTGTTTGGAGATTGAAAGACCAGGCCAGGTAGGAACGATTGCATGTTCGATCATTTTCATTTCATGCTTCAGTTTGTTAAAGTGAGCTTCACCGTGGAAGTACAGGAACCAAACAGTGCTACTTTTAGCAAAGAACAACAATCATTTAAACAATATTTACCTGAACGCACTGTTGGTTTATTGATTGAATACAACCTAGTCTGATAGTAGCGTGCTCCTCTTTCACTATCAACTTCCTAAAACAATCATTATTGCCATGATTCAAAATTGCTTTGACTTAAAAGTTTGGTCCATAACAAAAACGTATTCATGATTCTGATAAAGTATTACAACTCAGTTTATGGGTCCGCTGTGCTTTAATTTGTTAAAAGAAAAAAAATGACAAGTGTTATAGTGAATCAGTGTAACAAAATAAAGTGTTATAGTGAGTCAGTGTAACAAAATAAAACATTACAGTGAGTAAGTGTAACAAAATAAAGTGTTATAGTGAGTCAGTGTAACAAAATAAAGTGTTATAGTGAATCAGTGTAAC